CAGAAAAAACCACTGAGCAAATAATCTTTTATGAATCGGCACTTCCTTACTCCCCCTTGTTACGAAATAAGCCCAAAATCACTCATTTTTGTTTCTTTTTTATTAGGATCACAGCCACATACTATTTTATTTTAGTATATTGTATCACTCCCTTTAAACTATGGGAAGGTCTGTAGAATATAACCTATTGTTTAGTAATATTCTGCAGACCTCATCACCACCGATACAATTATGCAAAATAGTTTTGACATATTTAATTAAACGTATTGCCTAGCTGCAGAGTACACTTAGTACAGATGTGAACTCATCAGCACAAATAATATGTTAGCTTCTAAGATAAATGAGTCTTTTCGTAATGTAGGAGATAGGTACACGTGTCATTTTAAGTGTTCTATTATTTTATGCAGCTTATAGAACTACCGGTCAAGTTAATGTTTTACAGAAATATCACAAAGTAAACAAAATGTTATCAATTATAATATTAAGAGGGGAGGCGGGCAATGCTTTTTCAGTACAAACGCTCTTGACTGATTCCTCCTTGATTTTTATCACTAAAGAATTAATTTTCATACATTAAATACAATTTTACTCATTCTATGCTCCTATCTTCTTTTTTTCGATAATTTGTATTTTAAAGAAACTAGTAGCCCTCGAAAAAGGCCAAAAATAAACAAATTTTTATCACCACTAAAGACGTTTAGTGTGGAGATTAAATAAGCATTTACAAACAAACCAGAACATAGAGGCATAGTATAACTACTTATTATTCTTTGTGTAAAATTTCTTTTACATATATCTAATTTTCGTGGAGGAAATCGTCGAGGGCCGAATCTCGAATTTTACAATTTATATACGCAATAGGGTATTTGACAAGTTTTAGAAAACGATCTCACGTTATTGACTAATGTTCATGGAGTCCGTAAAAAGTGGATATTCATCATTCTGTTGTGTCTTTCAATAAAAATAACCAAATCAAAAACTCCATTTTCAAGTTGCCGCGAAAACGTGTCGCTGGACAATATGGCGTCTTACTAGTGTGTTACGTCACACGACTGTTATTAAAACCAAACGATACAATGTAATGTCACTTTAACCGGAAGACTTCCGGTTAAAGTGACATTACATTGTATCGTGGCATGTCGAGGCATGTCGATTTAAAATCGATTAATCGAAAAATCGATTATTTAGAGTAATATAATTGATTTTTCAGATCGATTTTGAACCCTACGTCGATTCAATGAATCGATTCACAAACCTCCCAAATCGGACCCTCCGAATCGGACGGTAGTTTTTTTAATTTTTTGCTGTTGTCGGGCGCAAAAGCAACTGGTAGTACTTGGTCAATAATTTGAACGCGTCATAGAGTAATAAATATTTATGAACGCTTCCAAAGGTGGCGTTACTTACGTAAAAAAAAAAAAAAAAAAACATTTTATTTTTCTATCCGGCTGATTCCGGCTGTCAAAAACCTAACCTATATAATCTTGTGAGTTGAGTGAGCTTACATAGCAAAAATATACTGTGGATAAATAATATCGTGTTCATTCATAAATTCATACAGCATTTATTTTAATTTGAAAAATAGTAAGTGATTAGATTGATTGTAATCAATTTATCGAGAAATGTGCGTTTGCGTTGCAGTTTGCATTTTTGTTAAAGTATTGTTATTCTTTTTAGCCTAAAATGTCAACTAAAAGTGATACATGGTATCATTTTGTAAAAAAGGGATCAAGTGGCGTATGCAAGTATTGTCATATCGAAGTTAAAACATGCGGGAATACAACAAACTTACGCAACCATTTACTACGAAGACATCCATCTATTAAGTCCGTAAGTCAACGAAAACTGGTGGTGGCAAATGATGATATTGGTATTGGTGACGACAAAAAAAAAACTGGAGTGTGTACCCGTACCTTTTCCTTACAATACAACATAATTATTCCTTTTTTATTAATGCATGCTTGTTTGGAAATTGTATATTCTTGCATTTTTTATCCTTTTATTGTATTTATTTTGTAATTTGAAATAATAATAGAATACAAAAACATAATCCTTTTCAGACAAATGAAGATATTGCTACTACGTCGACATCAAAGGAAAAATTTGGCATAAATGATGCTTTGAGTTTAACCAGTTCAAAAGAGTACTATGATTCTGACTTAGAAAGTATAGCTTCATCATCAGTATCACTGAAAAACTCAAAACTTAATCAGCTAACTATGGATTCATGTGTTGATAATATTAAAGCATTTAGTGGTGAGAATTTTTGTTATCCATGTAATGAATTACCTACTTTGCTGATTATGGTCATGGTATATTTATGAGCGGTGATAATGTATATTTTTGATTTTTTTTCCAGTAAACGGAAAGAAGTATGGACAACTAAATAATGCTATCATGTTAATGATTTGCAAGGATACGTTGCCATTAAATACAGTTGAAAAAGAAGGTTTCACATACTTAATGAAAACAGCAGTGCCTTTATATAAGCTTCCTTCACGGCAGACAATTACACAAATGATAGATGACAAATATGATGTTCTTTCTTTGCAATTTAGAGAAAAGCTCTTAGAAGTAGAGTCAATATGTTTAACTACGGATATATGGACAGATACACATAATACTAGAAGCTACATGGGTTTAACTGGACATTTTATACATGAAAGTGAGCTGATTAGTATAAATTTTGGTGTGTCCCATTTAACTGAGCCCCATAATTCTGATTATTTATGTCAAATATTAATAAAAATGACTGAAAAATGGGGTATAACCCCAGAAAAAGTTGCAGCAGTTGTTACTGATAATGGTGCGAATATCGTCAAGGCCGTAACAATTGCATTTGGAAAACAAAAACACTTATGGTGTTTCGCCCACACTTTGAATTTAGTAGCTCAAAAACCTTTTGAAGAAAAAGCTGGTATTGAAAATGCCAAACAGTTACTAAATACTTTAAAGGATATAACTAGATACTGTAAACAAAATGTAAATGTATCTGATGCTCTTCGTAAAGCGCAAAATGAAATAGCAGTACCACTCAAATTGATTCAGTCAGTTTGCACACGATGGAATTCAATTTACTATCAGCTAGTTCGGTTTGTAAAGTTATCTGAGCTACTTGCCCCGATATTACTCAATTACCCGAAAGCTCCACCTATGTTAACAGCCAGTCAACTGGATGGTATTAAAGATCTTATAAATATTTTAAAACCTATGGAAGCTGTGACGAAAGAAATATCCGTAGAGAAATTTGTAACGTCAAGCAAAATTATACCAATAGTTTCCTGTCTTTTGAAAACATACAGTACAATGAAGACGGAAACAGATGTCGGTGCTGCAACCAAAAATTTAATATTGGAAGAATTAAAAAAGAGATTTGGTACAGTGGAACAAGTACATGTGTTAGCTATCACCACACTACTGGATCCAAGATTCAAGAAAATTCATTTTTCTGACAGATTAGCATGCTTCAGAGCTATTGATAAAATTAATAGTATGATTGTAGCTTCAAAAAAGCAATTGCAGAATAAATTAAGTAATGAAGATTCAGAGAATAATTTGGAATGCCAGCTGAAGGAAGCAGAAGAATCTAACATTTGGGAATTCCATAATACATTAGTAAAAAATCAGCTACAATTATTTCAAGCAGAAACTGAAGGACAAGGTTTACAAGACGAATTGAAACATTATTTAACACAGCCTGTCGTCGATTTTAAAACGACGGCTCCTATTGCATATTGGTGTCACCAAAGAAATTCGTTGTACAGCTCAATAACGCCGATTGCTAACAAATACTTTTGCATAGTTGGAACATCTGTTCCATGTGAAAGGCTTTTTTCTGTTGCGGGAAATATTGCTACTGACGAAAGGAGTCGTTTAGATCCTGAGCGATTAGATAAGTTAATTTTCTTAAAGTCACTCGACTTAAAATACTGGGAAATATAATTTCTTGTTAAATTTGTATGTAACTTTAATAAAATTTTATAAACTTAAAATTTAATTAATTTATTAACCGACTTACAAGTACTTAGGCGAGACTAGAAATTTAAACTGCCACATTAATTTAGTGGTCGCAACTTCGCAAGCACTACTGCTGAGCAAAAGATCCTGGGTTCGATTCCCACCTCTACCTATTCTTTCGAAGGAATATAGGCGTGATATTATGTTTACTAATTTAATAATACTTCTATCCAATTACTTGTATTTGCAGTAAATGGTCATCAATAATGTCCTGTATCTTTATTAGGCAATTAGTCATGTTTGAAATTGGCTCGATTAATCGAAAATCGATCTTTTAATGCTCGATTTAAACAAGAATCGATTCTAGTATGTCTGATTTGAATCGATTCCAAGATCGATGTTTTTTTAAATGAATCGACATGCCTACCGGAAGTTTACTTGCGTGTGACGTCATTTTAGGCTCCGCCAATCCCTAGCGTTTTGAGTCACGTGACAATAGATAAGAAAACTAATATCTTTTTCGAGGGTTTTTAGTAAAATTATGATTTTTTTTTGTAAAAATAGAATAAACCCCTGCCCAATATTCAATCTAAACACAGATGCTAACAATTGGCACTTTATTTTTAATACTGTCAAATACCCTATTTTCAGCGTTAACCACTGTTGTCCCTATCGCACGGTATTTATGCAATGCGTGACAGCAATAGTTTTTTCAAATACCTATTTCTCAAATGTCTCTCAGCTCGCGTCCGCTCTTAGGAGATATCTTGTTGAAGTACTTCAACCGTGATGTAGCCAGAGATCACAATACAGCTTTCCATCTATCCTGGCTGTTATATCAAGGGCACTTAACTATATTATTGCATAAAATATTGCAAATAAACTACTGATTAATAGTGCATATAAGAAAAACCGCACAAAATTACAAAGATGGAAATATAAAACTCTTCCCGCCTTATTTCAAAACAGAGCCAAACCTATTTTTAACAAACCAAAGTGACAGCATCCGGTTTAAACTTTAGATAATGTTTTGAAATAAGGCAGTTTGTGAATGAGCATACTTAAAAATGTGGAAAACATCTTAATTCAATTTTTTTTTTAATTTCAGCTGCACTATTGATTAAATCATTACGTTATAATATTTTCACAGCATAAATTCGATTTTTTTGTCAGGCATGTATAATTCATATTATAGCACTTATCCCTCTAAATCCTTCTGATAACTCAAAGTTAACTTGCAAAATTAAACTTCGTAAAATTTAACCAAACATAGCTCCACAGTTAGAGCATCTCCTATTCTTCAATGCAAGACAGCACAGTATGCCCAATGGAAAGAATAAAATAGCACAGAGTATACCGAGGCAAGTGAAGTCGTCTTCTAAGATGCCGACGCGGCAAGCTGGGCAGGCACCGACTGTTACGATGGGCGGTGTTATGATGATGTTGGTAGCACCGTAGTTGGGGACGAATGCGGTTGCAGGGGGTGGGGGTGGTGGCCCATATGGAGTGTAGCCGGGCGGCGGAGGTGGGTACGCAGTATTGGGTGCAGGCTGTGGTGGAGAACCTGAAATGTTAGAGCAGCCGATTCTTACTAGACATGCGCAAAATACTTCACTTAAGTGTAAATATTGATATAGTGCAATTGAACTAGATGATGTATATAGGGTTGCCACCTTTTTTACGTCCAAATAAAGTACATTGGATATGAAAGGTAGAAAAAAAAGTACATTGTGTCCAAAATAAAGTACATTTTAATCCACTTTATTAGTAAGCTTAAAATATATTTTACGGTGCTTATAGCAATATTTAATAAATAATTTGTGGCTACTAAAAATCTGTAGTTCTTATCCGCAATGGGAAAGACCATTGTACAAAGCCATACAGCCGCGACAATGTTGCAGGAATGGGCTAATTGCGACATATTATACATACTGTTGTTCCGTTTTACGCAAAAAATCTTCCTATCCTCTTTATTTATATTATATGTAAAATTAATTCCCAAGTAATCAAATCACATTAAATAAAGTATTTTCGCGTACTTTATTGTTGGCATAAAGTATAGAGTACCATTACCCGAAATAACGTACAATACTTTATAATAAAGTACGGGTGGCAACCCTAGATGTATATCACTCGGCTCAGAACTTCAGTAGTTCATTTGAGTCACCTTTTCATTAAGTTCAATTGCGTTATCATTGATTAAGTTTAATCTGTTTCGTAGCTCTGGGGGAGTTCAAGTATTACGTAACGCAAATTTTGAAGATTTTTGACCCACTCCCCTCCTGCCCACGTAAGGCGCTCCTGTATATATAATAAATAACATAATTCAGGCATAACTTAAAATTTATACAATATTTTTATTGAAATGTTTGTAATATTTTAAAGATATTTACATATATACGAATTTGTACAGGTTTACTTATTATAAAAACGCCTTATTATTTGTCTATAGAATGACAAATCGATTTTCCGTTAGTTTTAAGTTACAGATTGGCGTACCTATTTAAAAATTAAATTATAAAAAATAAAATCAAAATTTAAACCATAAACAAATTACGCCTTTATTTAATATTCAAGTAAAACTAAGCCAAGTTTTCGCATCAAGTTAGTTTGCGCATCAAGCAATTAGGCAACAAATTGAGTGCTGGCAGACTCCCGATTCCAAGCTATGCAATTGTCTCGCTTCCGCATGCGGTGTTCCTGATCTATCTTTTTGCTTTACTCTCCTTCAGTCAAGTGTGAACTAGATGAAGTACTGAAGTAATTGGGACCCGAATGAACGACTAATGGAGATGTACTCGCTAAGTGGACTAATCCAATTAAAGGATTCATTCATCAACAACTCAAATCTAATTTTTACTGACATGTTTTGATAGGATAGAATTACGAGAAAGGTGTAGAATAAAGTCATTTTTAGAATCTTGATAATATAGACAGTCTTTGTGAGTGAAAAAGAAAAGAAATAACTTCATCCATCATTTATTTTTATCAATCATCCATCCCTTTAAAGACAAAAATAATTTGAATAAAAATGTAACTCTGTTATTATATTATTTCAATCATGCAAAGCAAGTTTTTTTATATCAAAAAATTTTTATATGTATGTACAAAAATATCTATCTGAAGATGGATGTGCAGAGTGACTAATTAAAAAAACAAAGCCAAGAAGTATATTAAGAAATTATGCATTAACAAGCTGGGTAGCGCAAACTTAGATCCATAGTTGTCAAAAAAGTGATTGTGATAGATTATAGATATCAGAAGAGATTAGGTTTTTAAAAAAATATGCAAAATATCATACAAAAAAATAGTAAATGCATTATCTGAGTAATGCATCCTGAAAAGAATGTGAAACATTGTGTTATGTAAAATGCATAAAAAAGCATTTTAAACCCATTAAAAAGCAGTTTATTTATTTAACAATAGGTTCAGTTAATGGTTAAAGAAAAAGTATAAAAGAAGATAATATGTTAACCTCAAATTATGATGAAATGTCAGCAATAACTAATCATCACTGTATTAACCCCACTACCAACGCATAGACCTTCTCTTGGGATGGCATAAGCAGAATATTTGCTAAAGCCTAGCAGTTTGATGTAATTCCTTAATATTTCATAACTCCATTTGATAAAAGGGTACCCATGTAGCTCATATAAGTGATATGGTCTAGTTAGATTTAATAAAAATATTTAAGTAATATATGCACACATTGTCACTGGAAAAGATAATAGTGAATCTGTTACAATATTTATCTAATCACATCAGTTTGATGAGTCACATTAAGTAATTCAAATCTTTCACAAAGCATTTTCGTTTAAAAATTGTGTATACAAAATATCAATGTATATTCATTAAATCATTAGACAATCAGCTCGTCCAAATGCAACAATGATAAAGACTAGTATTACACATGCATACAAAAACTCCATTCAATTTAGTCATGATCAGTAACTTACTAAAAAAATGAGTAGAAAAATAAATCAATCAAATCATATTGATTTGTTAAACACCATATACTTCTCTTGAATATAATTAGTGTATGTACTTCTAATAAATAAAATACTACGCCATCTCTAATATATTGGTTCACTTTATCAAGTGATGCATAACAAATGGGATTGAATGTCTTGTGTAGTACTAACTTTATACATCTAGCAGATTATTATAGTAACTGGCTACTAGCAGCAGACAAGCATTAACAATCAACCACTACTAATGTTGAAATTAACCAAAGAAATGGATTCGGCGTAACAAAACAACATTCAAGCAATAACATAATTTTGTACATTTTTAGCACTACATGCCTTACTAACGGCAAATAAATAGTTCGTCAAAATATTATCAAACATTGCGCAGTAATCACTAATGGCATAAGTTATTATTTATCGGAATGATTCATATTAAAATATAATGCATTTACGACCATACCTGGAGGAACTGTTGCGGAATATGGGGGAGGTTGGTCAGTCACGGTAGGTTTCTCCATTTCAATTCAAGGAATGAAATTTTATATAAAAAGTTAGAAAAGTGATCTCCACTCGAATAACTTTGACAAACACACACAGCAATTAAGCAAAATTGGATAGATTTCTCTCAACTCAACACAAAACTTTATGACATTTCTTTCTTTCGTGTTTTGTCAGCTGTCACTGTCAATGTCATGCGTTGCGGACTGCGGTCGCATTCAGAGTGTTAGGGATGCGCCGATCCGATCCGATCCTTTGAAAGATCGGCTCGGAAGGCATACGATCCGGTGATTTTCGGATCGGGTCGACGCCATACGATTTTATGCCGGATCGTTACAAAACTTGAAAGATCGGATCGCTTGGATCGTATGAATTAAAACGCGGTTTGTTTACAATAAATTGGGTAGGTACTTACAAAGGTTTCTGTTACGAACTTTATCTTTGTTTACATTTTAACTTGGCGGCATTCTTTGCAGGTGGATCCGTTAATCTTATACATTCTATTATTATAAACAAAAGTTGTACCTGATAAGGTGTGACGATTATTGATAGGTTTACCAAATAAAAATCTAAAATAATTTGTCTTATTTATTGCATCCAATCCGATCCGATTTCTTGAAGATCGGATCGACGGCATGCGATCCGATCCGCGGATCAGATCGTAGCAGTACGATCCATTACGATCCGAAAAATCGGATCGACGACCCGGATCGCACATCCCTACAGAGTGTCTGATTTTCACTCATGATCTTTGGCGATAACGTTAATTATTACTTTTATTTTACTAACATATAAATCTAGCTTGGTACGAAACCTGCGGAACCCATTTTGAGGGCGGTCAAACGTTTTGAGTGCAAAAGTAAAGTGTGAAGGTAAGCCTGTTTTACCTTCAATAATAACTATGTAATATTAGGGATACTTCCGCAATGGGCTGCAGGCGACAACCACAGGCGACAGTGAGGCTGACTGTTAAATATTGGCCATGGCATATTGATTATTATGTCCTATAAGTAAGGGTATAATAAATGCATTTATCCTTTAGAATTAGAACATTGAGATTGAGTTTTTTATTTTATAGATACAATTTTAGTTACAATATTTTTACCTTTATTATCGAATAATAATTATATTTTGTTAGGAGATAGCAAAGACTAATAAGGTTTATGTATTTATTTTCAATATGAAATGTGAAGGTCTTCTAACTTAGACGTTTCGAATAAAAGAATCAGTTTTTCTTCTGGCTGTGGAGGATGTTAAATATTGGCCATGGCTTGTATCCGAAACCGTAATTGTTGACGGTTGTCATCATCATCATCATCAACCCATGCTCGTCCACTGTTGGACATAGGTCTCCCCCCCCAATGCACGCCACTGCTCCCAATTGACGGTTATCATGGGGATTTAAAAAGGTGAAAATAATAAAGACTTGAAAATTGTAGTGAATCAACTACCTGATTTAATTTATTAAAACAGACCGTGCATTATATGGCGGCATGTCGCCGCGCTGGGAATCAATTTTATAGAGATTTATAGAAACTAGTAGTGTTGCCTGTAGCAAATACTATAGAACCCTTAGACCATTAAACCACTGGACTAAGTACGCGCCTATTTTTGTTCAGTGCAAAGTCTGTCACTTTTTGAGGGGGACGAGGTAAACCACTACATTAAAATAAACTCACACAGCCTTAGTTATTTGTATTGTTACAATCGCCTACAAATATATTTTTTCACCTACGCACACTAATGACAATCACAAGTAATCGTAACTAGGGAAAGTTCGGTATCGATATTTTAGTTTTCTTTAAATAACAATATCGATAGTTTTTCTTGTTCTCAAAGATTATTTTATAAAATAAAAATATGACAACGGAAAAAATTACTCCGGGTCTTTTAATACTCTCACTGGCACAATAGGCTAGTTGACCCTTTTTGGAAAAAGGTTTTAAATGGTTAATAAATGTTCTATTAGACCGAAAAAAAAGTATTGTATTTTTTTGAGACCTAAAAAGCTACAAATCTTAAATTTTAAAATAGATTTTTCGTGGACATACAAAAGCGCTGTCGGCCATTTTAGTCTATAGATTATCTATGCTATGACGTTAACGTCATTGCGTTAACTGCAGTAAACACATAACATAAAGGTAAATAAACAAAAACTCGTAAGCACGTAGAAAATAACTTAACTGACTTTATAATAATCAAAAGAATATTTCTAATAAATACCCCGAAAAATAAAATAATTATCATTATTGTATTGTACGAGAATATAAAAACACATCCTTGAAGACTCCAGGAAAGTTGTGGATTAAAAGTGCCGAAAGAAATTAACCTACGCAACTTTATTACACTTATTCATATGTTGTATCAGTTTTATGTTTATTACTACAGTAATACTAAATACACTGGTGTCGATTCTAGCATGATTCTCTAAACCTAAACTTAAATTTGACAGCAGTATATCCTTGTCATTCTCTATACAGAATGAAAAGGACAGACTGATGTTAAATTTAGTTTTAAGTTTAGAGAATCACGCCAGAATCGGCACCACTGTACTTACATAGATGCCTTGTCATTTCTCTGCTCCGCAGAGCAGAAATCGGGGTTTAGTGCAATAAATTCACCAACCATCAATGCGTCAATTCTTGGCAGATTTGTGCTTTCTGTTCACAAAGCCGGCATCCATAATTAGTTTTTTCAAAAAAAACAGTAAACGGAAACTTTTCTAAAGTTAAAAGTGTTTTAAGATAAATTTAGTCAGACGAAAGAATCCACCCACAATAACACGCGAATGACATTTAGTTGTTTACCATAAGAGACGTCACAATCATGGCGGATGTGGCGGAAAGCGTTTTTAGTGTTTAGAAAATACAGACTAAAAAATATTTTTTTAAATTAAATTTCTACAGCAATCTTCTGGTTTTATGAAGTGAAATCGATATATTTAGGTTCCTTAGACTAAATACTTTAAGAAATAAACATTTATTTAATACAATTCGACATGAGTCAACTAGCCTATTCCCCAATCACTTATAATTTTTGCTAAACTTAGAAAATCGTTTCGTGGGAGAAAATCTTAAATGTCATTTGTTTTATGTATATATGTTCATTTCTTTTTATCTGTCAAACAGTCGTTTCAACATAGGTACAGTCTTGTCCAGAAATGTGAGTTAAAAATAACGATTTCGACAATAAAAAAATATTGCTACTGTAAGTGTAAATGGCCAGAGGTAAATTAAAATGAAATAAAAATACTTTAAGACATTAGATTAAAACTTTTATTGAAAAAAGTACAACATGAACTCAAATAATCTTCTACACTCATTTTTATTTAACATTATTATGATTATTACAATTATTCTCAATACAGATCTTGATCTGTTGATGATTTCATATCTTTTAGGAGCTTATGTCAAACGAGTCAAAACTTATCATATTTTAACACACTTATATTTGCCTCACTTGTAATTAACTAGGTAAACAAATCTGGAAAGTCGAATTCAATCTACTTCTAATTCTCATATTGATTCAAAACTTGGTAAGTGTATGTAATTTGGATGACAATACAATAATCTGATATCATTGAGCCAGTCTGATAATGAGGCCAGGAGGTGAATAGTGAATTTTTCAATGTTACCAAAAAGATCCCTCGAGTCTGGGTTTATTTGGTCTGTTTTAATGAACACTCCTGCCACCATTCCAATGTTAAAGTATAAAAACTCATTTTTACTAAACCGTCATGAAACCACCAGCTGTCTTATCGTATTTTTTCTCTACTCTGGCTTTTATATATTAAAATACATACGTACGTTACGTTCATATAACATACGCAAGCACGCACAAGCATGTATAATTATTTTTGCTAGTTATATTTTCTTTAGATTTAAATATCAAGCAGTTACATGCTTAAAAAAAATAATTATAACTATAATTGAAATTTCTTCTTTCAAATGTTTAATACTTGTAAAAGTTTTCATTTGACATTGTGGGTTACCTACAATGCGAAGAGATGGCGCTGCCTTGCAGCTTAAGTATGGCTAGAAGAATTTCAACGAGGCCATCAGGGCCGCGGTAGCATAATTGGTCAGCGCATTCGCCCGGATAGCGAAGGGTGCGGGTTCGAGTCCCGTCTGCTGACTGGTCCGCGTGTATTTTTTCTAATTATATTTTCTTTAGATTTAAACATCAAACAGTTACATGATTTAAAAAAATATAACTATAATTGCAATTTCTTCTTTCAGATGTTTATTACTTGTAAAAGTATTCATTTGACATTGTGGGTTACCTACAATGCGAAGAGATGACGTTGCCTTGCAACTTAAGAATGGCTAGAAGTATTTCGACGCGGCCATTACATGCTTAAAAACAAAAAAAAATGGGTGCGTGTACTTATGTAGGCGCGTGAGAAGTTATCCTTCTTTGGCATCGTTTAAAATTAGTTTTTAATTGCATGCAAATAATTAATTACAATAAATTAATAAAAAGTCTGGTAAAGGACACAGTCAATAAAGTTCAGTTTTAATTTGAAAAAATAAATAAATAATCAAAATATTCAATTAAAATCGCTACTGAATATAATTTATTACAACATATGTGATTTGCACTTGTATGAAACTCAAACACGTATTCCGAATATACAAACTAGAAACTGTTACTTTATTACAAAAAATAAAGATGTGGTTTTTGGTTCTACAACACCAATGGTCAAGAGATGGCGCTGTAGTCTCCTGAATCGCGCTTTGGTTCCGTTGTTCCAGATTAATAAATACTTTTGATATTATAAATATGAATACCTATAACTGTTACTTTATTACTAAAAATAAAGATGTGGTTTTTGGTTCTACTACACCAATGGTCAAGAGATGGCGCTGTAGTCTCCTGAATCGCGCTTTGGTTCCGTTGTTCCAGATTAATAAATACTTTTGATAGGCCTTCACAATGCAGTCGTTAGCACCCACTAAATAGAGATTCTATTTTGTTGGTAGATTTTCTTTATGTGCGGTAAACACAAAAGTAACGCATGAAGTTGGTCGCTAAAGCGACCAACTTCATGCTGTTAAAATTTTGTGTTACAGTGATGCGCGCGCATCTTAAAATTTCACTCTCATCATTTTTTCATAACGCGCCTAAAGAAGTATAACTTCAAAAATATTATTAATATCAAACTATTTGAT